AAAAGAAAAGAAGGTGATGTGTGTCCCAGTAATTCATTGCAGCTCGTTTTGCATACTTCGAGAGTTTAATTTCGCAGTGCTAGTTCACAAATTAATTGTACATAACGTGCCACCAATTTATCCAGAATGGATAACCGTTCTCATTTCTGTGTGAAAGAAGCACCGGAACCATTTTGAAGAAGCTGACCCGCAAATTGAGCCTAGAGGAGGAAATTTTTAGCCCAGTCAGGTGCATAAATCGAGGAAGAAAAGCCAGGAGCGCTGAAAACTTTACCGAAAAGCAAAAAATTTTGTCAGAAATTCTTGTTTCTTTCCATTTTTGCTATTTAGACTAAATTTTAAAATACCTAATGCACTACGTAGCTTCACAAGCCAGTAGCGTACAAAAGAGAAGTAGCAAAAAGTAAAAACTTTTGAAAAAAAAAATATAGCGTGACAATTTGAGCTTTGCATAATCGTCGGATTAAGAGTAAGAAAGATATTTAGAACTCAGTGCAAATGATATACAGTTTTGTCATTAGTTTAAAAATAAGCAGTTTTATATAGTAAGAAATACCCAATGTAGAGCTATAGTAAAACCACGGGTTTCACGTTACAGTGTGAGTGGTGACAGAAATCTAACCAAGAACCGCGACTATTCCTGTTGATCGGGTGAAACAACATCTCATACTTGTTGAAAAATTGCAACAACGCTGCTCGAGACTGAAATAGCTTGTCAAACGAGTTATTTTGTTTTGAGGACAAGAAAGTCGAAGAAGAACCTTCTGATATGTTCGTAGGATTATATAGATTGCGCTGAAAATGCTGTGAATAGATTTGGTAGTAAGGCCTACTGGAAACTTCAGGTTACATCAATTCATATTCCTGCAGCAACACGCTGACTCTCATTTTTTTAGCCTAACATCGAGTGGTATTTCAATGGACTGCCAGTGCTCACCGATTCGCGATTATCCTGGAGAGTAAAAATTACACCAAAAAAATTCCTTCAGGCATGTTACTTACTGTTGTGTAAAAATACACCATCGACAAATTATTCAGTTTTCTGTTCAATATGCGAAATGAATGGCCATAAGCGATTATTTCGCAGTAATTATCAAAGCGAACAACGGAAAGATAAAAAAGACGTTGCAAAGACTAGGGCGGAGTATTCCAAAGCAAAAATAGATGTTTTCACTCCAAATTCGCAATAACTGTGAATTTTGAATTTTTGCTGAACTTTTGTTTTTCCCTTGAACAGATGCAAGATTTCAGCAGCACGGTTATTTTTTCGCTAAGATTTGTTTAGAAATAATTGAGTATCCTGTACCCTCTTTTTTATGAGAAGTGAGTTGAACTGTCAAGAACACAAGGATCGCTCGATAATCAGCACGGGTATCGTGTGTTAGTGATGTTACTGAGATGCTCCGGCATGCGGGGAGGGGCGGGGCAAGGGGGGGGGGAGGGGAGATGTCTCCGTCGAGTCCTGTGGTATTGAGCTGTATTCCTTCCAGCCAACATCACCTGTTCTATGCATGTGCGCTACTTCAAGAAAAATTGTACGAATTGAATTTTACCAGAAATTTATCGTCCATTGATCTACCTCGATTATATAAAGTACTACTGATGTAAGGTCTCAATGTGATGCCCTATTTTGCATCCGTTATTTCTTAGGGTTAAGTGGTCACTACCTTTCTTTTGGGAACGTCTCGCTAATATACTTTTTGTACAAGACCAATATTGTTCATAATAAGCTTAAAATGCATCGCAAGGCAGTATTTGTAGAAAAGCGGCTACTGACTAAAAAGAATGTCAATGAGAATGCTGTTTCCCAGTGGTACCTTTGCAAATATGTTATATCTTTCTTTACGCTTCTTTCTTTTTGTTCCGCGTTGCGTCCTCCTTGAAGTCCGGCGAGCAAGTCCACGTAGTTTCAGATTTGGCCGCTTATCGAAAATACGGACGATGGGAGGTATGAGTGCTATATCGATAAAAAGCACCGAGGATCTATTACCATCCATGTCATCACTCCGGGGGTTTGTACTGATTCGCTATAATCCGTTACC